GAGAGAGAGAGAGAGAGAGAGAGAGAGAGAGAGAGAGAGAGACATGAAACAAAAATAAGACGCCATCAGCGAGTGTTGCTGTGCGCCACGGCGCGGGGTCCACTTGTTTTAATAATTTGTTTAAATCGAATTTCGTTTTTCATTTTTTTTAATCTTAAACGAAGTCAGATTCCAAAATAAAAAATATAGGATTGTAGGGTTTTCCAAGCCCTACAACCCTATATATATATATATATATTACGTATTTTTAGGGGTAAAAACAAAATATTAAAAAAACAGGCCGCGGGCTGGGTTTGGCCGCGGCCGCGGCCGACTTTTTCGGTCGCGGCGGCCGAATTGCCCGCGGCCTAGGCCGCGGGTGTCACATAGATTTGGCCTATAGCCATGCAGCCCACTGCTGCGCACCATGGTCGAGTCTTTTTTCGAATAGGTCGTACGGTAGCAGGCTGCCGACTCCGAAATAGCAACGACCGAATACTCAGAGCATGTGCATGTGCATGTGCACACAGACGATCTCCGACACACTCACTACGCCACCTTGTCCTCTTCCCTCGGTTAGCCAGTACCCGGCGTAGTGAGAACGCTCATGCCCAAGTAGCCAAGGACTCGTCTCCCTCACCCCTTTATAGGATTGCCGCTTACCGCGATCCCCTCGCTCTGAATGAGGGATTCAAATACCCTTTTCAGATTCTATAAATTAAAATTGCTTTCCAAAATTTAGTAAGGCCAATAGAATGAAAGAAAAGGAAAAAAGAAAGGTCGTGCCCTGTCAGTCGCCTCTGAAGGTCAGTGACCCATAGGCTCGTCGCGATGGTCCCATAACGGGATCATACCGGCGGCCACTCCCCTTCCTTTAAAGAGGGCGAACGGACTACCCCTAATGGGTACCCGTGTCCGATGGCAAGGAGGGGACTCATGACCCTTTGCGTGGTGATGAGCCTCGACGCGGCCACGGGTGCTCCCATTTTAGGCCCGATACCTATTGCACCCTATCAGTCAAGCCCACGACGGGTGAAGTGGGAAGGTCGAGTGGGCTAGGCCACCCATATGTTTGTTGCCCACTTCGAAAACAAACCGTTCGTCCCCCACGAAACGACAGAGGGGAACAAAGCTCAAAGGACGGCTAATAACGATAATAACAATAGTATTAATAATAGTAATAGTAATAGTAAAACAAAGGAAAAAGAAAGGAAGGAAAACGTAGCGTTGCTGCAGCCCGACGACAATTAGATAAACCATGTGAAAGTAACGATTCGATTTAGAGTGCAGACTCACGGCGTGACTTTTCTCGCCTTCCCTTTTCTTTCTTTTTAAAATGTTTCCGTTTCTTTTTCTTGCTTTCACTCCGAACTCGACTACGACCACCTGGCCTATGCATACTACCTTTAACCTAGCAAAAGAGGATCAGTGCACAGTAGAGAGCACCGCGCCGACCCCACTACTCTTGCACCACTGGACGACGACGACCACAGGCCGGCAGTACTCTGCAGCACGGCAGAGCGGAGATCCTTAGTGGGCCGATGGTGAGTTTGGCACACCACTGAGAAGCAGACACGCCCGGTACGATACAGGGGTCGAGAAAAGCACAACATGCCCGGCACCTACGGAAGATCTTTTTCCTTTCTCAAATTCTCAGCCCTTTTCTTTTTACTTTATTTTTCTCTCCCTCTGCACCTGGCCCAGAACACGACCATTGGGGCCCGACGTGCGGCGGAGTAGCCCATGCTAACTTTTTACCGTCGAGCCCCTTGACGGACCCAACGGTCACTTCAGCCACGGGTCAGTCTACTATGTGGCTGGACGCCGAGCCTGTGTGGTTCAACAGGTAGTCCCAGCAGCGAATCCTGGCATCCCGCACGACCCTGTGGACTGGTATCTCGCAACGAAGGTAAGTGAGCGGACGCCTGGTACGCAGCGGGAGTTCATGAGCAGGTATTCGGTACACAGCGGGGGGCCGAGACACCACACCCTCCGACAGCGGGACGTCCACGTCACCAACAGCAGATGCCACATGGCAATCAAGGAGCCACACACGTCTGTCGGGCGCGCGCACAAGCCTAGCTGTGGAGGAGCACCCCTCCCCAGGCACTACTCTAGCCGGAGGGACTGGGCCTTACCGGTCCACCGGCATCAGGGCGCTAGCGCTAGCACAGCTCTCTCCCAATTTCAACAGTCACTATCCTGTCTTGGTTCTCCCTGAGAAAAAATATTACATATCAGGAAAACAGTCACCCAACAGACAACAGTGGCATTCAGGAGGTCCAGAACATTTTTTTTCGTATGCTAGCACAGGATTTGTTTTCTGGTTTATTTTTTATTACTCTTTCTTCTTCCGTTTTCATAATTTCCCAATATCTTTAAAAAAATAATTAAAAAAAATCGGATAAGAATTTAAAATGTGTCTGGGCGTGACGTTGTTCAGGGTGATGAGTTCTATGACATGTATCCGTTTTAGATTTTTCTGAAGGGTAAGTTTCAAAAATGGCGCGTTCTTCAAGGGTAGTTTCACAGCAAAAATAGTGGCGGGGCCGAAGTTTCATTGCAAAAATACATCTTCCGTTGCAGCTTTACAGGTCCCGGTAGTTTCAAAGCCAAAATATTTGCGGACGGGGTCCCACTTTCGTTGCAAAAATACATGATCTTTCTTTCGGACCCCGACAACATTTCCGCTTCGAAAAAAACGTACTATTTCTGGAATTAATAATTATCCCTTTTAAATTTCTGGAACATATTTTGTTTGGGGTAAGTATGCTCCAGTCTGGATAGAGTTCCAAATGGGCGAAAAAAAAATAAAAATAAAAATAATAGTAATAAAAAATTTGCACTGGCAGTTCAGTCGCGCGCCGAGTTTGGAAAGGCCGTAAAAGAGGCACAGCACTTTGTAATAGGTGCACCACACTTTATTTTAACAAGTGCTAAATCTGTTGACGTCATAACTACAGGGGCGTGGTAGTGCTGTGCAGAGGGCCTGAGTTCGGAAAAGGCGGAAAAAACAAAACCCACCGTGACTCCTTTTGCTTCTCTTGTGCATTTTAAACTTGTGCCCTGACCAAATTGCATATTGTGCAATTCAGTGTTCTTTTCGCCTGTGCCAAATTGAGAGGATATGATTGTATCTATGGGACGCTGGACCCGGTTTCCAGCAGGCGTTGCTCCCCACCAATAGATGGAGCTGTTTTTCAAAAAAAAAAAAAAAAAGTGTTCTTTTCGCCGTTCAGAACTGAAAACCTGACTATGTGGAGGCCTGTTGTTGCATTTTTTTAAATGCATCCCGGCCTCCTTCGTCTTCCCCCCCCCCTCCGCCCTTCCGGCTCCCTATGGCAAATTGCGGGACCCGTACTACCTCGTACTATGGATCATAGTACCCTATACAAACCTTCGTATTACAGGGGACTGAGTTTCAGTGCAGAATATATACAAAGCCCACCATCAGATTCTCTTTAAAGATCAAGACTTGCTTACCCCAACTCCCTATAATGGCGAATCGCGCGACCCATCCTAGCCCGTATTATGGGCCATAGTACCTAGTACAACCGTCCGTATTACGGGGGTTTGATTTTAGCATGGAGCCAAGTGGTATCGGCCATAGCACGTGTACACAACCTTCAGTATAATTACGGGGGCCCGGTTGATTTTTAGTTAGGGGCGGATACAAAGTCCACCAGCTCTCTGTCAATGAAGACTACCTCTTGTCGGGCTTGCTTCATCTGGTGAAGAACGGCTTTGCCTTCAGCGGCATCAGCAAAAACGTCCATGTTTGCATCAACGCCATTCATTGCGAGCTGCAGTCCGTCTGATGAACCGAACTCTCGCAATTCAGCAGCGTCAACCATAATGATTTGTGAATCATCACCCACCACAGCACTTTGCTCCAGCACTCGCACTCGAAGGACCTCATTGTTCAATTCCTTTCCCAGCTGTTTTATCCTCTGCTTCTGTTTCTCAGCTTCTCCTTCCATCTCTAACATCCTTGCCTCCATCTCTTTTATCTTTGCTGCAGTTTCAATACGGTAACCCTCTAAAAGTGGTGATGTCAACACTTCCGGGTTTTGCTTCTGTCTCTCCCTTTCCTCCTCCATCCCTCTTGGGTCAGCTTCCAGCAGTTGGATCCCCTCTGCTTGAAGTCTTGTTTCCCTTTGGCTAAGCTCTAAAGATGCGGCCAACTCGTCCGTCCTCTGCTTTTGCTTCTCAGACTCCTTTTCCATCTCTAATGTCCTTGCCCGTAGCACCCTCGCCTCGGCCTCCAGCCGTTGGATGCTCTCCGCTTGCAGCCTTACTGCTCTTTCGCCGGCCTCTAAAGATTCAGCCAACTCTTCCCTCTTCTGCTTCCCCCTCACAGAGTCCTGCAACGCCCTTGCCTTTGTCACCCTTACCTCGTCTTCCAGCTGTCCTATCCGCTCTGCTTGCAGTGCTGCTGTTCGTTTGGTAATCTCAAAAGATACAGCCAACTGTTCACTCTTCTGCTTCTCTTTCTCATGTTCCTCTTCCAGCTCTAGCAGCCGCGACTGCATCAAACGCGTCGCAGACTCCAGGCCTAGGATCTTCTCTGCTTGCTGTCTTGCTGCTCTTCTCCTGAGCTCTAACGATGAGGCCAATGCCTCATGTGCACGGCTCTCGTCCTCCGATGCCTCTTGCAGTAGAATCTCTGCGGTGTCCTCCACCTTGCACTCAATTATCCCTGATGATACTGGAGAGCTTCGATTGGTAACCACCGTGACGGTCCCGCTAGTACATGCATCATCATCGGTCTGAGACTCGTCTTCTCCTAAAAGCACCTCTGCCACAGAGAACTCCGCCATACCTCCCAAAACAAGCAATGCCATGCTGGAGTTTAGACAGGGGGCCATGCTACAGACTTCTTTCAAACCACTGCCCGAAAACATCACTAGTTCGTAGTCGTCCGCCTCGCCGTCCTTCCATGCAGCGATCTTGCCGTCCTTGGAGGACGCCATGATATACGGCAAGTGGGGATGAAAGAGAACCGAACTAATGCTGGCGTTCAGTCCCGCCAGTGTAGTTAACCTACATCCATCCTGATAATTCCAGACCTCTATTGCTCCCACCCAAGAACCCGCGACAAGAAGCGGTTTGTCATGCTTGCTGCAGAACTGAAGAGCCCTCATCTCAAACGCCGCACTAAATGTCTTGGGAGAACTTTTGGTTCCGGTCCATACCATGATTTTCCTGCTCGTTGACGCACCTGCAAAGAGAATCTTCCCCTGTGGATGAAATGCTACGGCCGTCCACTCGCCCAACTGGTATTTAACAGGTTTGAATGACCAGCCTTCGCTCCAAGCCCATAGCTTTATCTGCTTCTTGGAGTATGTGATCATATAACATAAGCTGGGATGGAAAATCATATCCTCTAGTCGACTTTGATGCGCTGTTAGGTGCTTGAGTCTTTGCCACTCAAAGTTGGGTGTTTGCACTTGGTGCATCAAAATGGACTTCTCATCCCTGAGCGCAACGACCAATGGCATACAGTTCTGCCGCACAACAAACTTCGCCCCTTCCCAAAGGGGCATAGTACCTTCTTCAATCAATGGCATGTCCCAAGCGGCGATTTGCCTCCCTTCTTCATGGTTCCAGACTTGGATTGACCTTTGCTGTGCTACCAATAGAATCCAAGGTTTATGAGGATGCACATCAATGTACAAAGGGGTATTATCACCCTCCGCACCCATCCAAATGTCTTTTCGTGCATTGAGAAACTTCTCTCGGAGTCTCAGATGCAGTCCCGCTTGCCAATCGTTGGAATCCTCCATCCCTGCCGTCGAACCCTCTCACCCTTTGCGATTTTTCTACCCCCTCACTTGTAAGCCTCCTACTTAGGGTTCGACTTGCCGATGCCAGTTGTCTGCTGCTCAGTGGTTCCTCTTAGCCCTCACTTACCGTCAAAACATGCTTGCGATCATGACTTTCCTGGACGGATCCAACTGCCATTACCACCATGATAATTCCCCCACGTATCTAGCTGGCAATATGCCCAGATACCAGACAGAAATGCCCTAGTACAAGTATGCACTCACTCTCAGTCTTCTCTTCACTGCTTCCACCGGGAACGTCTAGACTGAGTTCATGGCCATGACCAAAGTCACCAAACCCATTGCAGTCTAAAAGCTCCCCCCACTCTACCAACCTCACCCCACCCCCCCCCCCCCCCCCCCCCCCCCCCCCCCCCCCCCCCCTTTGCAGAGTGTAATGACTGTTTACTCTCTGAAACGAACTCTCTGAGTCTCTGCTCAACATAGCTGTAGCCAGGTCTGCCTTCCATTCATCTATAACTTGGCGTCTTCATCGGAAAAGGAGTACTAGTACCCGTCATCGTCAAAGCTGATGATCACAGGACTGCCTGAGTTCTGATTTGGTCGAAGGCTCGAACTTCAAGCTGATTGTCGTGACAATCTTCAGCTTTTCATCATAGCATTATATAGTTTCCTCAGAATCTTCTGGAGCTGTGGACTTCTTGATGGATCCTTACTGCTTCTCATTCACAAACAACAGCCAGTTATCACATACATTCACAAATTTCACATCTTGTGAGTTCCTGTCTGAAAAAGGGAACCTGAGTTTATCCTGTTGTGTTCTTTCAAATTTAATTTAGTGTCAATCATCTTGCAAGCTTCCTAGGGGGACCGTTGATCACTTTCACATTGCTCATGATTTTGTTTTCTTTTCTTTCTTCACTGTGGCGGAGGGCTGAGAGTTGTGACAGTTGTCTTATAGTGTAACAATTACTCAGCAGTTGTTGCACACTTGACATTTGTACAGTGACAGAGAGGGATTGGAGGTTCTTTTCTTTCTTCTTCTTTCTTTCTTTTGTATTTTTTGGCAGTGGTAGAGGGTTGAGAGTTGTAGGGTACCAGTTAGTCATCGGCAGTTGTTGACGTTTGTACAGTGACAGAGAAGGGATTGGAGGGTGCAGTGTTCGGCAGCATTTGCAGTGTGGGCCACATATTGTGCCATTTCATTTTCCTTGCTGTTTTCATCGTTGACGATGACATTTACATTTTGTGGTCGGTTTCACTAGTATCTTTGAGAGTCGTGCTATTTATGTCTTTTGCATGATGGATGCCGCACGTGCCTTTCTCACACGTACTGATTGCTTTGCTGATTTCCTATACGAGACACATCCTCACTTCTGGATGGATGGATGGATGGATGGATGGATGGATGGATATGCATTGACAGATGGTTGTTCTCTGGGGGCCCTTCTCACAGATCCTAAGAAACAAGAAAAAAAAAGTTCACCAAGCCCACTTCCCAACCCTTACCCTCCCTTTCCCAACCCCTCCTCACAGATCCTGAGAAACACATTACATGACCACGGTGGCATAAGACCATGATCCCAAACAACCAGACGCCCCAACAAAAAAAACGAAAAACTGAAGAAAAAAAAACGAATCCCCCCGACAACTCCCTCATGCCCACCCCACCATAAAAACAAAGAGAACAAACACCCCCTCACCCCCAATAAAAAGAAAACGAGGTAGCTACGGCGGTCTGAAAAGGGTAAAAAGAAGATCCAAACGGAGTATCCAGTATTCACACAGCCGGCCAGACAAAACCGGCAGATCCAGATGCCACACAAATACTCGGCGGCTCCAATCTATCGAAACCTTGTTCATGCAAAAATAGAGAAAAGCCAGGGGATGGAACTGGAGAAAAGCCAGGCGATGGAGGTAGTCGACCGAGCCAGCGACAATCTCCAAGCAGCGAAGGAAGCGGAAAGAAAAAGATGTTCAGTCTTTTATTACAGTTAATAACATAGAAAGTAGATTCRAACTTTGTTTAAAAGATCTAGAGAATTACCATTTATTCTTGACTAATTTGCACAAGAATCTTAAACTTCAAACCAATTATTTCCATGTTTTAATTAACAATTATTTGAAAGAAATATATACAAGTTTTAATAGAAAAAATATTCAATTGCGTGTATTCACACAACGTTTCAAAAATGGAGAAAAGCCAGGGGGATGAACTGGAGAAAAGCCAGGTGATGGAGGTAGTCGACCAAACCGGCGACAATCTCCAAGCAGCGAAGGAGGCAATTCACACAACTTGTCATCGTCGTCATCGTCAACAGGTGCCGCTAGATAAAGGGGATTCTAAGTATGAAATTAAGATGCCTCATCAATCCCTTCATCATCGCAAATGAACAGATGCTGATGGCTAAGGAGCCACACCCATTGTCTAACAACACCAAGAATGGCATGTCAGCAGCCGCCCCTCATTCTCCCATATTCACTTTTTCCAAAGAAAACAAGTACAGTAACTCCGTAATTACCATAAATGTTCCATATCTGTAACCAGGGGCACTCGCCCCTGATCAGTCGAAAATACTGATATGACGCGACGCACGGATCCCGCGCTTTGACCGCCCTCACATACCTCACTCTCCCACCACAGCCAACTAGGATTGCCAACAAGATGTCGATCAGGACCAGGTAACGACGAGAGCACGGTGATGCTCTCTCGAGACAAGACCCACCATGGCACCCATGCACCCGATACCCTATCGTCTCCGCCGCCCCAACAACCAGTTCTGGCTATGCACTGCTACAAGCGCAGCAGCGCTAACGCGATCCCCTATCGCCCGTGCGTCACGTGTAATACAAACGACTTTTGGCTGATTGTGGCCACGACTTTCTGAACAATGCGCCATTTGGTATCAGCGTGGTCACAGAGCTGATAGCAGATGGTGGAATATTTTTTATTGGGTTTCTATGTGTTTTTTTTTTTTCCTTCTTTTTTTCCTTCTAACGTTTCGGCCTGCATGATAAGGCCAATAGAGCCGTTTCCTGGAGCACGTTATCTCACCAGCGGGCATCTAGGGACCATCTATTGTGTCAATCCATGGTCTTTGGGCGCCCGCCATTCTTTTTTTTTCTTTTTTTTTTAAAGCCCATGGTGTTGTGGAGGCCGGTTACTAGGCACACATTGATCGCCTGGAGCGGTCAGCCGTGGTTGTCCTGAGGGAACGAGGCAACCTTCCCATCCCATCCTCACGTCAATACTCCTAGCGCACCCCCTATCTCTACCATCCTACCTTAGTGTGACCAGCACTCAGGACCATTATACCCCTACTTGGTATCGAGGGGAACTTGGAACGAACAGTAGTGACCGTGACAGGCACCAGGGCTAGCCATGACCCAGCCCTGGTGGAAGCGGAATCGAACGAGCCTCGTGGCACGGGTTTTATCCTCGTAACGCCTATCATCATCTCAGTTAGTAGAGACCAACCAGTGACTCACGCCCTCTGCTCGCCCGCCACAGCCCTCGTCTGCCACACACAGTCTAGCTGATATTAAGGGGGGTACTTATCATCGAGACGCCTATCATCATCATTAGTTGATCCTGACCAACCAGGGACTCACGCCCTCTACTCACCCACCACAGACCTACCTGATATTAAAGGGGATACTTATCATCGGACGCCTATCATGATTATCAGTTGATTGTGGCCTCCTCCTAGCCCTATGGTTGTGTATGTGTGTATGTATTCTATATCATGGATGTGTGCCCGTGGGATATGTGTATGTTCGTAATGTGATGTGGACCCGATTTCATACGCTGCTCCCCACCATGGAGCATCTGCGAGGTGAGTACTGAGTACTGATGAGAGGTGTTCTTATCACCTTCACTAGTACATGTGTGTGTGTGTGTACTTTGAGCTATATATGTGTGTGTATAGTATGTGTGTATGGTATGTGATAGACTATGTATCGTGGTTGTGCTATCTGGGATGATATCTCATGTGTGTGGGTGTATGTGGTGGAGGCAGGCCTATCTGGACAGGACCCCCCCGAAGTCTTGAACCGCACTCCACCCTTTGACCTACAGTATGAAACTGGAGGGTTCTACCACATGTACTACCGTAGGAAGTGGATATAATGTGTGTAATGTCTGGGCTGGGGGAGATCATCAGAGTGACCGAAGCCAACAACAACCAGCAACCAACGTGAAGTCTAGACCAGCATACAACACCCATGGACTGACCCCCTGGGTGGTGCGCAGGCAGTGTCTGTAATAGTACCATGCGTCAGCCCAAGGGAGTGTATGTCCATCCGTGCGTCATGCTAACGCCCTGCCGGTGTCCATGCGCAAGGCTGCGGAGTTTGACCCCGCAATCTCATACCACAATTCGCATTTCCAACCAGTGCTCTTACCACTAAGCTACATCAACTGGACTGGGCGCCCACCATTCTCTTCGTGGTAGCCTCCTACAACGAAAATGCGCAGGTGGGACCGAGCCCCAGCCCTAGGTAATTCAGAATTGCAGTGACTGTCTTGTACTCATCCGCTTCCAGTGGAGCTTGAACTCACTTCAACTCAGGTCTGTATTTCAACAGTTCAGTCATTTGCCAGTTGGTTTTCCAGAAGTTTTGGATCTCGTCCGAGAAGTTTGCAGATTGTTTTCACTGCTATCCATAAAGTATAAGGGTCTGATCCCACCACTACACTACGACTGTAGATGTAAAAAAGGACTACGAAGATGTCCGCCGCCGTGTCAGGACAACAAAAGAGAAACTGGATCCCATGAGGGCGACTTCTTCGGTGGTTTTCCTGACCCGCGGCGGTTATTTGTGGGTTCCTGCAGAGGGCGGACGTTTTCGCCAACCGAAATGCCACACAACAGTGTGGTCCACAGACATTCCTGATGCTGCAAACGGACAAACGAGAGAAAAAAAAGACAAAAAAAATTGCTCCATTTTTTTCGCTGCCGTGAAGCCCTCACCATCTACAGAAAAGTTGTAGTAACTATGTTTACGCCCTTCGCGGAAGTGCTGTGACGACACACCCAAACAAAAGAAAGGCAAAATATTTCAGCGGCGACAAAGTCGCAAAAAAAACATACAAAAACATTCGAAAGTCGGC